GTAATGACAACATATGTGGTTACTTAAGGTGTTTTTGACATACAAGTCAAAATCTGAGTTTCTAAAACATACTGTGTTTTCCCTTGGAGTCTGTCTTCAGGCACACTGGTAAAACATATTGTAAGCCCTTGTTTTATGCATGAGTTCAAGAATAGATGGACATATGGTCATTATGAAACAACAACAACAAAAACAAAAAACTACAAAACCAACAAAAAAACAAACAAAAAGCTGAAAAAAAATCCAGAAAACCACCCTCCCTCCCCTACTTCTTCAAGTGACCGAGTTTTCCTGTTTAGGTAAGTAGTTTCAGAACAGTTCTTCAAGACTAATACTGAGGCCTCTGAGGTACTTGCTGGGCTTCTCTGTGGTGCTTGATTACTGATGTATGTTTTGGAGCTTGTTGGTGCTTAATTCATGAAACTTATATTTATAAATTCTGTGTTCTTCACAACTGATGCTTGTCTGTTAAAAGTGCTAAATGGAGGGAGAATTAGGCCTGTATCTTGAATACCTCTCTTAACTGAGAAGTTAAATTCTAATGTGCCTATTTTATGAAGAAACTTTATTGAATACGGAACTCACATAGCTATTGAGTTTTATTGTTTCCCATAATTCTTCATTTCACATGCTTTTATTCATTATTTCGTTTCTTCAAGCTATTCACAGTTAGAGAAATTTTGTCAAATCTTAAATGGTTCTTATAGAGCTTGTATCTAGATGAGATGGTAGTGGATCATTAAACGACAACCAATGGCAATATGACTTTTAGATTCCTTCCTAGAAGCTTTTTTATTTTACTAGACACTGGAGCCAAATATAGAATTTTTTTGTGTTGGTGAATTTATAGTTTCCAGATAGATAGTTTGATCAGGTTTTCTTAAATACACTTTCTTCTAAATTACTGTGATACCATTTTGGCTGGGATTAGATGGAAAGGGATAGAAAACAGGAAAGAGAGGGTAAGCTTATATATTAGAAAGAAATTAATTCCTACATGTTACATCTTTGTAATATTCTGATTAAGTATGATTTGGTTAATATTTTTAATGGTAGTTTTGGCTGAAGAAACAGTGTTCTTTAGACACTTCTGGTAAGTGGGTGTGCTTTTATGTAAATGAAATGATCGATTAAAATATTAATATGCTCCCAGTTTAAGCTTTCATGTTCAGGCAGCTGGTAGTGTAGAATACCAAGAATTCCTTTGCCAGAAGGACGGAAATAGTCTGCTTTTTTGAGTTACTTCGGAGAAGCAGCAGCTCTTATGCCATTGCTTGCTGTGATTTACAGATTTGTGCATTCTAATCAGAAATATAAAAAGCTAGATGTACTCATAGAATGGTTTTTCACTTCTGTAGTTACGCAGCCTCATGTACAGTTCTTCTCCCCTTGGTTATTAGATTCTGATATCTTTGTATTATGTCTTTATTTCTTAAATTTTTGAGAGTTTTACTATTCCATTTACTTTCTGTTCTTTAATCAGTAAAAGACTATTGGTTGAAATGCAAGCACTCACTGACAGTTTCATGGCTTGGATGATATCCCTAAACTGCCTGTTTGTCTGCAAAAGTCCTTTTTTATTTTACCACTTTGTGTAACACTACTTGAGGCAGTTTTGTGTAAATACAAGGTAAAATGTTGTACTGCATCGACAATGTTGAGGTAAACTTTTATTAAGACTTTCACTTCACTCCCATCTAATCAGAACAACAGATTCATTGATGTCTTAGCAACCATGGTAAAATACACCAGAAACAGAATGAAAGAAAGATGAGGTTGTAGCACCTTGGCCTTCCTCCAGCCAAGTGATGAAATGTTGTACAACAAAGCTGAAATAAAAAGGCAGCTTTGTTTCGGCTTTAATTAATAGTATGTTAATATAGCTGGTGCTGTGTAGTGCAGGTGTTGAATACCAGACTGTAGTGAGAAAATCTTGCAAGGTGTTGGTATCAGTTTCTCAACAAAGGAACAAAACTCTTCTTTCACCTTTTTTAAAGGAAGTTTCTAGTATGAGCTGCCTCTTCTTGGAGTTTTGTGATGGTTAAACTAGTAGTAAAAGTGGGTGCTGAAATTTCTCGAGACCAAATGAAATGCTAATGTCACATTACAGAGACATGCAGAAGGAGAAAGCAACAGCCAGTCTTAAGACTTTTTTTGTCTAAAATTCAGAATATTAGAGAATGTGAAGAAGATCTAATTACCTGTCAGTTTAGCGTAGGTGTGTTAATCATCCTAACAACTAACCACCATTATGAAATCCCAGTGCTGATTGTGTGGTGTGGGCATCTGATTATGCAAAATTATAATTAATGAGTATATAAGAAGTGGTTGCTCAGGTGTACTAGCAATTGCAGTGAAACAGTTGTCAGGGGATGTAACGAAAGTTTAATTCCATCTCTGAGTGATTAGTGGTTTAGACCTTGATGGTTACAGAACTGATGGCAAAAGTATTTCATCATGGATATGAACAGCAAAAGCTCCGTGTGATTGAATGCAGGCCTGGGTGTTTGGTTTTTTTGCAGTTTGTGTGGATTTTTTCTTTCTTTCCTTTTTTTTTTTTTTAAAAAAAAAAACAGAACCAAACCAAAACAAGAAAAAATTAAACCATCGCCTCCAGGGTTCATTGGGCTTTAAATTGGAAATTTAAAAGATAAAGCGGTATCATTCCAAAAATGATGTAATAAATAAAAGTCTGATTTGAAATTTGAATCCGTTCAGATGACCTCAGTCAGTAAAAAGATCAGTGTAAGTTGTTATACTCAAAATGTGATAGTATCTCTGAATCAGTACCCCAAAAATACTTCCCCAAATCAGTAATCCAAAAGAAAAAACATACATAGCATAACATAAGTTCAAGAATTCAGCCTGGTGTGAGTCTCCAAACATTTGAAACTGATTGGAAGAAAACCCACAGAAAATAATAAAGTGGGAGTGATATTCTGATTCTCCAGAATCTTTGTCTGCATCATTTTACCATTAGGAATAGGAAAGAAAAGCTTTTAAATCAGCCAGAATCAGATTGATTCATAAAGCAAACAGGAAACGTATTATGAGGCAAGGCTTCATGCTATGATAGACATCTAGGGAAACTCATCGTTGGCAGTCTATTTGTCTTTGGCTTCGGGGGTGGAAACTCTGGTTTGTCTCCCTGGGTAATGTATGGAATCCTGTTTGTATTCCAGTGCAGTTTATACGGCCTTGGGGAGCAAAGTCTGATCTTAAAATTAGCTGTAATTTTTGCTGATCAGATAATGGTATGACTGGCCAGCTATTTTTCCATGACTTTTGTAGGAGGATGTTATAACAAATTTGTGACATACTGTTTTTTCTAAAACATTTGCATAGTGTACTTGTTTCATCTGAGATAACCAGCATGTGGTGATTGGGAGACTCCCTCTGGATAGGTGACTTGCAAAGATTTTTCTATTTTAAATGTGGAGAATTAGTTTTAAGTACAAAAACCAAGGTGAACACACTGTTCAGATATGCTTTCTTAAATGGCCAGTGCAGAAACAGAAATTTCCTGTTCTCATGTTCGAAATACTATGCATATATTTACTAGTGAAGGTAGTATATGTAATATTTGCTACAAAAACAACTTACTTAACTGTAAGTATGCATTCTGACACTTGCACCTAATTCAACTCCTGCAGACAGTGCTGTGTTTTAGCACGGTCTTAAGCAATAGGCTGTTTCAGGTTGGAATCTATTTTAGCAGTCTGTCTAACCATTAAGTTTTTATACATCTCTTACATAAAATCTACAGAGAATGAGCAAAACATAGTAGGCAAGACAGAGTATATCCAACTCTGTTCTTTGTAAGAGGATTTATATTTCTGGGGAATCCAAGAGGTTTAGTCATTGGCTGTATTAACACTGTTAGCTACTGTAAAAACACTGAATGTTTGCAGTGTGTGATAGTAAAGAGAAGGAGGATCATTACGTGTTTTGTTTTGTTTTGTTTTCTCAATATATGTGGGGGATCTGGAAGAAGCATGATTTGGAAGACATACTAGCTCAGATTCTGGGGTGAGCTAAGCAGTATTTGTAGTAAATGAACCTAGCTACAAGGCATAAACACGCAGTTCATGGTCATGAAATTAGTGCGTGCAGAGCACTGATGTGCAGGAAGAACAAGGTGAAAAAGATACCTGCATTGATAGCTCTGTCCTTTAGAAGTGACCTGTGCATGGCTAAATCTGTCCTGCTTCAGTATTGCTTTCTTATTAACTGCTCAGCTGTGTGAGAGGTATGGGTTCTTAAGGGATGATGTTTCATGACAACTCTGCATTGTTCTGAGTTGATGCAAACTTTTTACTGAGATACCTCAGACAAAGGTACAGCTCCTATGTTTTGTAAGACTGAATGGTGCCATCTTTGTCCTCACTTTTTATAAACACCAGTAGACATTAATTCTGTTAATTGTATGCCTTACGTAATGATTAAAGTCTATTTTCCTCTTGTGTGTGGTGTAAAATAAAAAATAAATGAAAATGGGAAAACCAAAATGTAATAGCTGCGCTCGAGGGTGTTGCATCAACCCACTACATAATTACTATCTTTAAAATGTCAAATTTAAATATAATGTCTTTAAATGACTTATTTCAGATATCAGTAGATAAACTAAAAGAAAAGAACAGTAACAGATTCTGAGTGACTTCTAAAAGCATTTGATTTAGTAGCAGCTGAGTGGATTAAATTTTGATATCTGTGCAGAAACAGCAGGATTGTATTTGGACTAAGAAATTACTTGCTGGCTTTGTCACAGTTGACGTTAATTATTGATAGGGGTTTCAGTAATAGCGCATGTGCCAGCTGAGTTGACTGTAATATAAGATAGGAACGGCAGTGATGCTAGAGGGATTATAAGAGAGGGAAGCACCTGTAGCATTTAGAGTTGCATGCTCTGGTCATCAGTCTTTTGCTGCAATACGTTCATGACTGATTAATATAATGCAAAGATGAGTCGTCAGGCTTATTTCTATCGTGTTCCTCCACAGGAATTACATAGAAGAACTCAGCTTCAGCCTGAGCCAGCAAAGACGAAGGCTCTTCAAACAGTTATTGAAATGAAGGTATAGTGTTTGCATGTTTTCCTTTGCATTATTTTTTGTAACTTGAACTCATGTACTAGCTCTAGCTATAATGGAGTTAGTTTTCCTTGCAGCAGCCTGCAAGGTACTCTTTCAGATTTGTGATCAAAACAGAGTTGTTAACACTCTGATATTTTAGTTATTGCTGAGCTATTCTAACACAGCATCAGGGCTTTGTTTCTCGCTCTGCTCCCCCAGCCGGTGGATTGGGGTGGACAAGCAGCAGAATGGGAATACAGCCAGGACAGCCAGCCTCAGCTGACCTGAGAGATATACTGTATGTTATGTTCAGCAGTAAAACTGAAGTGGGGACAGCATTCAGAGTTATGGCATTTGTCTTTAATTTGTGCTTGGTTTTGGAACGTGATTTTAAGCATTTTTAAGCATTGTGAAGACCTGTGGAATCATGGTGAGAAAGTTCTGTAAATGAAGACACGCTTAGGCCAGGAGGACTCACAGAACTGCATGTGGTAGCATTACAAATGGCAGCTATTCTTATCTATGGTGATAATTTTCTGGGTGTTTGGTGTTGAATTGGATATTACCCGTGTCCCTGCATTAAAGAAGTATTCTCTTTTGAAAATCGTACTTGTGGTTTGCCAGGACTGACAGTGCTAGCTACAGCCAAGTCAGAGTAGAAGCACTGGTTGGTGGTGAGGTGTGTATTTCAGATATTAACTCAACTTTGTGTAATCTATTTTCTGTTTGTCAGTAAAATTCACTTGTAGGTTTTATTTTACTTTTATAACCAGACCAACAGTTCTTCATTCTACAAATTACTGGGTTCTCAACATCTTACTGAAATGTTTAAAATGAGTGCTGAGAATCAACTGTCCTTATTTTGTTTTCTTGATAAGACTTGGTTAAAAAACAGGCACAGCATTGCTTGTTTTGAGTAAGGAGAATTTAATATTCCTTTTTAAAAGAGTCAAAAATCAACATCAAAATGCAAAACAAAGCAAACAATGCACCTCCCAACCCAACAACAAAAGCAAGACCAACCAACCAACTTAAAAAAAAAAAAAAAAAAAAGTTTCAGGAGGGCCAATAATAATATGTCTGTTGATTGTTATTTGGTCACTGTTTTACATCCAACTTAAGGAAAGTATTAACTTCATCAGCAGTGTGATGCAACAAAATGTGATGAAACAACTCTTAGTCATAAGCACAATTTCCTCTTTTTTGTGTATAATATTACTGAAATGTTTTGTCTTTTCTTCCTACAATAAGAGAAGAAAAGCTTATTTGAAAGGGGAAAACTGATATTTTCACATGACTCCCTGAATCTGGAATCTGTCTTGAAGAAAAATACCATACACAAGATAATTTGTGAGTTGGCAGTGCTGTCTGAAACACACTAATGATGGTCTTTCATTTCAGTCTTCTTAAAAGGGAGTGCAAATTAAAGGCCTCACTTTGCCAGTGACTTCTGTTATGAGCAAATGAGTTCAGCATGTCTGGACATTGCAGTAAACACACAGTAATAACTGCAACAGTACTTTCCAAATGCTGTATCTGCTTTTTTAAATAATCCAATTAGCTTGGATTATATGAACAATGGAAAAGGTGCATCAATTTCAGTATTCCATGTTCTTTTATGTATTTCCCTTGGACCTTTACTGTTTATTCCAGCTCATAAGTCTATACGAAATTTCAAATGTGTTTTTTTGCAAAATCTTGTTATCTCATGCATGTGCGAAAGTAAGGAGCTGGCTGAGAAACAATTTTCTTTCTATTATTTTTGTGTCTTACAAATTTAAAACTTTGGGGATATTGAGATAGAGGGTTTAGAATAGTCTATGATCTTCCATGTGGATTATCAACAGTTTAAAATTTATGTTTTCAAAATAACTTGCAATTCTGCTTTGTGTACCAAAATTCTTTGGAAAGGACGAGGAAATGGGGGCCAGGATGGGGACATATCATTATATTTTGATATTGCAGATATAGTTAGAGCTACTCTGCCAGTCCCTGTTCATGAAGAGCTTTCATTTGCTAGGAGTGAGATTGTAGTCATGATGCAGAGCTGCTTCTGGGCTCGGCTCTGGGGCATACAAGTCTTCCTTTTGCTATGACCATACACAGCTTTAGGATTGCCCTGTTCTAAAATAGGCCTAATATTGAAAAGGGAACAAATGTAATATGTTGAAATTCACATGTCTAAAAATCAGCCTTCATTACAAATTCCAGCTTTGGAAAGCTTGCAAGTTAATTTCAATTGTTTTAATCCAGACAACATTTGTTTTGAAGACAAAAAAAAAAAAAAAACACTCAAGAACAAAGAAGCTGAACATTTGTTTTAAATAATCAAGGACTGAAGCAATGATTTCCCTGCAGTATTGAGTATAGGAGGAGGGAGAAGTTTACCCTCTAATATAGCAAACCGTGGCTGTACCCTGCCCTGTTCAGAGGGCCTGAGCAGGGAAGTTTGAGTGTCAACTGATATAGTATTGTATTGAATCACAATGAATTAGGAAAGGCATTCTGACTGGTTTTCCTCAGTGTAGTATTATAAAGACCATAAAAAGTCAGTGAATTATTCTTATCCATTCCAAAATGAATAACTCACGTTGTAACTAAGGCAGAGAGCAAGGTTAAGAAGGTAGGCAACTTAAAGGTAGCACAGAATGTGACCTGGCTATAGTTCTGTGACTCTTGGGATGTTGGAAAACACGATCCCACCACTTCTTCAGCAGCTTTGTTGCTATCAGCTGCTATGAGAGCGTTTAAAGAATACTTTTCATATAAATAACTTATAGCTGCGGAGGTTGCTGTTAGGTTAGTCAGTTCATATATTGGAAAGCGTAGACTTCTCTTACACAAGTAATTATTGAGCAGTTGCCTGCAGTTCTGGATATATTGCTTACAGTATACAGATGACATGAAATAGGAATTATAGTACAAGAATTTTTACTGACTATTAGGCATGTAAGAAAGACCTAGTTTAGTTGTTTATAAACTAAGGATGTTTAAGAGCTAAGGATATCAGAGGATAACAGTTGGTTTAAATGTGTAACAGAATTTTGAGTGAGTTGAGCCAGTGTTGGATACTAGGTGATATTTGTTGTGTTTTATACAGTGTTCTATAAAATAAGAAGGTCAGATTCCACCCTGCCTCATCTCTAAGAGCTTAATAAGGACTGTAGGAGAGTTCAGTTACATTTGGCTCAGTCACCATCACTACTGAAAGGCTGTGTTTTCTTTCGGTGTCTGTGAATTAAAAAATAAGGTGTTGATAAACAGGGAAGTGTTCTGATAGGAGCCATCAGAATGTTTAAAATGATTATCAGATGTATTATAATAAATAACTTGAGTTTAGCTTTGTGTATAGAGACAGAGCCCTGCAGACAGACCAAACTGTAGTCTGTATACCTACATGACATATCTTTTATACAAAAGAGGCCTCTCCAGGCCTGAAAATAAATAAATCACAAAATACAGCATGCTAAGGTTAGAGATAGCAAGTATACACTAACATAAGGTGCAAATAAATATTTAACAGTGTTCATATGATTTTATTACTTGTGTTGCACAGAAAGCCAGGCGAGGGTTTTTTTTTTTTTTTTTTTTTACAACTGTTGCTTGAGACTTTGTGATACATGATCAAATAACATATTTTTTCTCATGCCGAAGTCTTTGTTTGCTTAAGCATAAAATAAGCCTGTTGTATTGAAATATATTCCTTTAATTGACATTGCACCCATGCATCCTTATATTTTGTTTGTAGGCAGATGCCAGATCACTGGGATTTTTGATTATGACTCATATCCAAATTGTTTACCATTCAAAATCATTTACAAATCAAAAAGAGTGAAAGGAAACATTCTTCATTATTTCATTCTTGGTGGAAATATTCCCGAACACCTCAATCAGGTCAAAATTTCAATATTTTTTTCATGTATTTCCAGACTTAAATCAGTGATTCTGAGAAAGTCAGAAATAAGATGCCTAATGATGAGGCGTGAAGCCTAACTGCAGAGTACTGACTATTCTGAAACTTATATACTCTAGCAACAAGAATTGAATTCTTTAAAAATAGCGAGCTGTAATTCAAAATATTTATGGTTTACCTTGATTGCAGAAAGAGCCACTTTTATGTATTGATCCAGCTGTGATATTTCAGGTATGGATTTGGTTCTGAAAATGTGTGTTATGTGTTTGCAGTGCAATATACTCCTATTTTTAAGACTGCATGAGCTTTCACTTTCCCTTGTCTTTGGAAATAAACCCCAGTATTCTCCATATTAGTTTGAAAAAGTTTATAGTAAGACTAGTTGAATATAGAGTTTGTGTATATTGCATTTACTTGCAAGTTCTAGTAAAAGTGATTTTTCATTTATTTGCTGCTGATTCCTTGTAGAAAGCCCTACAAGTAACACAGGCATAATTTGTTAAATGTATCTGCTATTTGAAATTGTGTAAGTGTAGCAATTCATTACTTACCAATTCAGAGAATAGAAGACTGGTATGCTGTATTTTTTACAAAAGTTTTGCCTTACTTGTCCTTTCCTAAACGTTCAGGAAATGTACTGTCGCTCCTTGTTTTTGGGGTAGGGATTGGATTTATAAGTTAACTTGAAACGCGACTCATTACTGAATGGAAACTCATCTGTAGTAGCACTCTCCTTTGCATTGTGAAATGTCGTTTTCTTTGTTAGCATCAGGACAAAAACAAGTTGAGCTTCGTGTTCCAGAGAGTTGAACTTCTGCTAGACCAAGGATAGATAAAGCCGTATCCTCTCTTGCAGATTGTCTGAAACACTGTTTAATAAAATAGATGAAGTACCAATTACTGCTGGAAGAAATGGATAGTCTTACCAACAGAGATTTAGGAGGCTTGACTGAAAAAATGCAAAATCGTAGAGTGCAGAAGATGTTTGTTAGTACCACTTAATACCAGCATGTCTCACAATATTGCTGCAAAGGAATCTTCTTTGTGATTCAACAGACTAACTTAGTTTGTTAGAATGCTGCTAATGCAGATAAGTCTTAGTGGTTTGAAGGAAATATGGCATCTGTTTCTATTTCAATTCCTGAAAGTTTGCCAGACCCCGTGCCACAACAAGGGCTGACTGAAAGTATTTCAATTGAAGTTTACTGTGGGAAAATGCTGATTCAGTGGAATCAGGAAATTTTTATGGGAATATGCCTGTTCTGTCAAAATTTTCAGTGAAAGCAAAGCTATGTGACTTTCTGTCCTTCATGTAAGCCAACCCATCTACCTCTGTGGCAGTACCCAATGGGAGCTCCAGACTGTCTGTGCTGTCCTCAAGCTGTGATGTTCCTTGCTTTCCAGCAGTTGTGCAGGCAGGAAGAACTTCAGGTTTGATGGGCAAACCAGCAGCCTCTCTGTGTATTTGCAGAATTACCAGTTTGTCCAAATGATAAGTGGCTATGTATAAAACCAGGATTCTGATGCATATAAAATATTCTGTGACCATTTTGTACAGCTGTGAGCAAGTTCTTATCCTGTTATCCATTTCCGAGCCATTCTCTTTACATTTGAACTCTATCACAATAGACTTACTTGTTTGCTGTGGTTTGGACTGTGTGACGGAACAAAACTGTTGAATGAAAGCACAGCTTTTCCATGGAAGAAACACGGTTTTCCTCTGTTAATTTTCATCTAAATATTGGGAATGAGATTTGTGTTCTGTAGCTTGCTACAGTCACAGTATGGTGTTTTCTATGTTTTCTGTGGAATGGAACTTAATAGATTTTTATTTTTTTTTACACATTCATTAAAGGAATGAGATCTGATAAAGACTTTCAAATTTTACTTGGCATTAATTTGGTTATGAATAGTGCAGAAAAGGCAAGTAATGATGTGTGGGAAACACATCTACTTGCTTCTACAATTAATAGTATTGCAAAGCCGTTTTTGAAGATGGCCTTAATAATTGAAGTTGCTCAAATCCTTAGTAGAACTCACTGGCAAGACACTGAACATGTACGTACAGTCAGTGGGATCAGACTGGCATAAGGTCACTGAACTACAGTTACTGTGTGAGTAATGAGGGAGATACCTGAGGCTTTATCATGAAATCCTCCAAGAATGGGTTATACTGCCTCTGTGGGCAACCTGTTCCAGTGCTTGTTCTCAAGCTATAATACTTGTAGGTACTGGAAGGCTATGCTTAACCCCCCTTGAAGCCTTCTCTTCCCTAGGCTGAACAAGCTTAATTTCCATAGCCTCTCCTCTGCGGTTATGTGCTCCAGTCCTCTTGCCCCCATGCTAGTCTCACTCAGGTTTAACATCAGGTTTAATGTCTTGTACTGCAGGGCATTAAACTGATTGAGGATTGTAAAGTGCAGTCTAACATCTCTCTTTCCTTGATCTGCTTAGTGTGTATGCTGCCAAGGATACTGTTTGCTGCTTTTACTGTCAGCATCTGTTGCTGACTCCTGTTAAACTTGCTGTGTCCACCAGGACATTACAATCCTTTTCACAGAATCATGGTATCATAAGAGTTGGAAGTGATGTCTGGAGATCATCTAGTCCAAGCTAAAGCATGTCCTGTACAGTAGGTTACACAGGAAAGCTTCCAGGTGGGTTTTGAATATCTCCAGAGAAGGAGACTTCGTGGCCTTTCTGGGCAGCCTGTTTTAGTGCTTTGTCCCACTCACAGTAAAGTTTTTCCCCATGTTCTTATGAAACTTCCTATATTTCAGTCTGCCCATTGCCCCTTGTTCTGTTGCTAGCTAACCGCTGAAAAGAGCTTGGCCCCAGCCTCTTGATTCCCACCCTTTAGATATTGATAAGCATCAATAAGATAATCTCTCAGCTTTCTCTTCTCCAGGCTGAACAGCTCCAGGACTCTCAGCCTCTCTTCATATGGGAGATGCTGCAGGCCCTCAGTCATCTTTGTGGCTCTCCTCTGGACTCTTTCTATAAGTTCCCTGCCTTTATTGAAGTGAAGAACCCAGAACTAGATCAGTACTCCAGCTGGGATCTTAACCAAAGCAGAGTAGAAGGGAAAGATCACCTCAACCTGCTGGCCATCCTTTTTCTAGTGCACTTCAGGATACCACTGGACTTTTTGGCCACTAATTCACACTGCTGACTAATGGTTAATCTGTTGTCCACCAGGAAAGTCAGGTCCTCCTCTGCAAACATCTTTTCCAGCAAATCAGCCTCTAATCTGTACTGATGCATGTAGTTATTCCTCCCCAGTTGTAGGACTCAGCACTTGCCATAGTTGAACCTCATAAGGTTTTTGCCCACCCACCTCTCAGCCAGTCCAGATCTTGCTGAATGGCAGCACAGCCTTCTAGTGTGCCAGTCACTCCTCCCAGCTTTGTATAATCATGCTGAGAATGCATTCTATCCCTTCATCAAGGTCATTTTTGAAGAGCAGCTGAACTGCTCCCAAGGCAGTCAGTCCCTCATGGATATAGGTGCAAGGACTTATTCTTTTCCTGGTGCAAGACTTTGTATTTGTTTTTGCTGAGTTATCTAAGGTTCCTGTCTGCCCATTGATCCTGTCTGTATTGGTCTGTTAGGTCCCTCTTGAGTATTTTCGTGGGTCTCCCGGCTTGGTTGTATCTACAGATAAGTGCTTTGCCACACCTTTCAGGACACTAAAAAATGCCAGAGGTCCCAGCATGGACTTCACGATATTCTCCTTATTACTATTCCAGGAAGAGAACAACCAATTAGCAGCTCTAACCCTGATCATAAAACCTTTTTTTTCCTTGCCAGTTGATCACCCATACAGACCATAACTTGGACACAAGAATGCTGTGGGAGGTTGATTCCAAAGTCTTGCTAGAGCTGAGGTGAATGACAGTCACCCTTCATTCCTCATCCACAAGCATAATCATTTTATCTGTAAAGGCAATTGGGTTGGTCAGGAATGATTTACCATTGGCAGATCAATACCGACTGTTCCAAAATGTCTTCGCCTTCATGTGATGAAAACTATTGTACAAAAAGACTTCCCAAGGTCTGTAGTGAAGCTGTGCCTATCGTTCAATTAGTTTAATTCTTTTTGTCTCTTCTTAAGATGAGTGCAACATTTGCCTTTCTCTAGTTGTTAAGAATCTCTGACAGTTCTGTCATGATTTTTCAAAGAGAGTGGCCTTACAAAGACATCAACCACTTAAAACCATTGGAAGTCCCATATTGGTCCTAATTGGAAGTTCTCCTGGTTAGTGGAATCATATAATTTTTTTTCCTCTTTTCTATTAATATGGATATATTTCTGACTCTCACTGAAGAGATTTATTCAATTTCCAAATGACTGGCAACAACATCAACAAAATCACTGGATGCTGTCACAGCTGTGCTGGCGCACATGGCAGCTATTGCCTGTGATACAGAATTTTTTAGTGCTTGTGGTTTCTTGGGTTTATTTATTTTCAAGACTCATAATAAAAAGTGCTAAATCTCCTCTTGGTGATGTGGTGGAGGAAAACTATGTGAGGAAACAACCTTTGTTCCCGATGACAGCAGGCAGAAGTAGAAACCCTGATGAAACTTGCAAATTGCCTTAGACCAGCTCACATAATAAAGTGGCCTATCTTCCTGCAGTTCTGATGGACAAGCCTCTCTAGACTAAACTTAGCCTTTGTGTTTAAGAGCTTGGAATTATAGCCAGGACCAAGTGGTTAGGAGTATAAAGAATATATTTCATCATATGCAAGCGCAAAATAAAGGGCTTCTTCCATTCTCCTTTCATTCCTAACTGTGGAGGAACAAAGAGATGATTCTAACCAGGATGTGTTCTCTATAGGCAGTTCAATGTAATGTAGGATTGTACTGATCTGGTGGCTTTTTTTGTTGTTGTTGTTGTTTTTTTTTTGGTTTTTTGGTTTTTTTAATGAAAGAGATGTAAAATCTGTATAACTGATTTCAATGGAATTACTCATGGTTTATGACAGTGTATATGCAATCTGTATTTTTACTATGTATTTTTACAATCTTATTATTTGTTATTTCTGTAAGTACAGAAATCATTTTGTTATGTATTAAATACAAGATTAATACAATTTCCAATATTATTTTTTGTATAATATAGGATACAAAAATAGCTTCACTTGAGCGCAATATAAGAGACCTTGAAGATGAGATACAGATGTTAAAGACAAATGGAGTTCTGAATACAGAAGATCGAGAAGAAGAAATCAAACAAATAGAAGTTTACAAGAGTCACTCGAAGTTCATGAAAAATAAGGTAAAATCTATTAATATCTTAACATTGGTTAAATAATGTGAACAAAAGTTTTAATTAGACTCTTTCCAGCACTAGTATGTCTGAATGTTTTCTATTGGCAATTCTCTGCTATATGGTACTGCCGCTGTAGAAGAGTGAAGTATTTCAGTGAAATAAAAATTCATTTATATATTAACTTTTGGGAGGTAAGGAGGAGTCTATTCCAGTGCTCCTGCTGAGACAACTGCAATCATTAGTTTTTACACCATGTTCCCTTTTCCCTTTATTTTGTATGTTTTAATGCTGGTTTTTTTTAAATTATTTCATTATTTTGATTTGCAGCATTTTGGAACAATTTTATTTGTGCTTTTATATTCGATAGAAGTTTTACAATAAGGACTGCTGCTCCTTAGGTTATATGAAATTAAGGGTTTTTTTTTTTAATACATATTTTAAAAACTTACAATTTAATGACTTTATTCCTTCTTTTAAAATCATTGTACATAGATAATTGGGCTGACAATCAGATTGTAAGTACATAGTGGTGGAATACACATTTTCTTGGTAAAAGCCTCATAGTTATTTTAAAATACATCAGAATTAAAGCCTTGTGTCTGCCTGGACTCTTTACTTCCTTAAATTTCAACCTACTCAGCTGCTTTCTAGGTAAAGATGAGTTCTCTCCAAATACACTTTCTTGTGAGTTCTAAAACTACTTTAGAAAATTAGAAAAACTACAGTTTTTCTAGTTGCCTTAAAATTGTAGTAAAATATACATAATGTTAGTATTTGTATTGGTTTATTCCTAGTCCTCCACCTTGAACATTTTGTTCATGAAACAATAAAATAATGAATTATGGCTCTTGCTTAAAATATGGAGATGTAAGCTGATACAACCATCCTTATCTATACAAATTTAAGTTTTGGTAGTAGCTCCAGCCCTCTGATCATCTTCTTGTCTCTCTTCTGAACCTACTCAAACAGCTCTACATTTTTCTTGTAGATGTAGACTGTTGTCATGTCTGAGATTAACTTGACCCATGTGCAACACCTTATATTTGGACTTCTTGAATCTCATTAGATTCCCCTAAACCCACTTTTCATGCTTGTCCAGGTCCCTTTGGGTGGTGTCCCTTCCTTCTGTTGTATAAACTATGCTCACAGCTTGGTGTCATCAGCAAACCTGCGATCGAGCAGACACTTGATTGCACTCTGTCACTGATAAAGACTTGTTGAATTCTGTGAAACTTTTAAACTACATCATAGGAGGTTATGCTTTCTTGGGACATCTGAGCATATTTTAACTTACGTGGATTTACACTGCTGAGGAAATGGGAGCGTTGGTACCATGTGGAAATAATGCAATTTTATAAAAATAAACAAAAAGCCAAAATGCTGAAAATTCAAACGATGTATTATTTAAGTTCAAAATAGTAGCTCAGTAGCTTAAGAGTAGCTAAAGTCCTGGTTAAATTTGAAGCAATTCAGTTTTACTAATTTACTATAAAACTCCGAAAACATCTCAGCAAATCAAGTGATTAAAAATGTTGTAAAATGTCTGTTATTTTGTTAATTTTCTAATATCTTGGAGATGAAGAGGTTCAGTAGAGATTTTTGTCATGCAGAAAACATATGAATGAGAAGATTGTTAAAGATGTTTTTTCACAATCTTCTGATCTTTGATGAATGTCGCATTCTGATGAAATTTTGTCTGTTTTCTTTTACCAGTCCTTACTTCTTAAAGTAGGGATTTGTAGCAGAAGATATTATTTTATCATTCATCTTGGAACAATTCAAGGTGGAAAAATATTTATGTAGTTGTCAGCAAACAAGCCTTATACTCAATCTATTTAATGAGAGATTGTTGATAAATTCTGATTAAGAATTCCTGATTGATGGCAAAGAATGGAACAAAGCTCTTTTCACAGTTAGCAGTCTTAGGTGCTTATAAAGCTCTTAATACTTCACATTTATTCTTGTTCTGTTCATTTCATTAAATGAGAAATGTTAAATGGAGGCCAATATAGAATTTTATTTATTGCACATGAATGACAGAGAATATTGGAGATAATTTCTTTAATAATTTTAATCATTTTGAATAATCAATCCTCCCAATTATTATAGCTTAAATTTTGACTTGCTGTGAAATAGAAAATTATAGAAATGAGAAAACTTGCTTTATGTTTTTTTCTTGTCCAGTTAATGTTGCTCTACTTTGTACTTGAATGGACGGGTATTACCATTATGGTATTGCATTAAGGATATGATGTTTCAGTATCCGTAATAAGAAGTTAAAGAAAACAAATAGAACAATATGCATTTTTGAGAGCTACGACTACCTTCCCCCATTTGAATAAGCACTCAAATATTTAAAGAAATATTGATGAATTTTACAGGCAAGAGTTTACACTGGAATTCAAGTAGTTCTCTGAGTTTTGGAATTCTTATGTTCTTTACAGGAACAAGTAGGAAAATCTAGTGACAGTTCAGTTCTGCTTTTAGAGCTGAGTTTTAAGAATTGTGAAAGTGAACTATAACAAGCTCTTTGTAATTAGCATTTATGTGCAATTATTTTTTACGTTATTTGAAAGAAGAAGTTCTAGGTGATACTGTAAAAGATATATACTAAAAAAAATTACACCTTTTTTTGAGGACAGATCTGGATCTGCTATAAAAATGTAAAAAAACAATCAAACCTCTAAATAATGCACCAAGAAATCCAAACCAACCAACTCCCTCTCCCCCCCAAAAAACCACTTTACACCAAAAACAAGAGCTTGCACAATACAGACTTCAGAAACTACAGATAAGTGTCTAATTTACCTTGTGCAGCCACTTCACCTCACTTGCCCTGCTGTTCTTTCACTTAATTTCTTCATTCTAAAAAGCAGGTATCATTTGTCACAAAAAACCTGAGACTCCTATGATATATAAATCAGCATTGTTTCATTTAATAGAATTATTGACTTAAAGATTCAGGCCTTTGATTTTAAGCTATGCAATATTCAGGGAAAATCCTCTGTTTTGTTTGCTTGCTTTTTTCTCTATGTAATGTCACATAAGACTTTTGCTATGTAAATCAATAATATAAGAAAAAGGATAATAATTGTATGGAAAAGCTAGTATCTAAGGAAATGACAGTTATTAATTGAGAGAGAAGGCATAGGAACTAGGGTTTCAGCAGAGGAGGGGATAGTCATAAGGGCAACATAGGAAAAGTGGTGACAGGCAAATTAAATACATGAAATGGGAAGGTCGTGATCAGAGCTCTGTGAGTGCTGTAGTGCGTAGACTTTTCATTGTGGTCTTTATAAAGTACAAAAATGTTCTCACTTTCTTTTTTTTTATTGGAAGATTTCACTGAATCATACTGTTGATATTCTATACCACTTATTATTACAAAGTGAAAATGTCTGTACATCTGCAGGAAAGAAAATGGCTTCAGGCCATTCAAGTTTTTTTTTTTTTTTTTTTTTTACAGGCTAATAGTTTCTGCAGGGCTTTTAGAAAGTGAATATAACCAAAAATAAAAACTTGTCTTTAGAAGTAATGTGTTTTTTTCCTATACCTTTGATATTTTTGATACATTATTTTTAAAATTGAAGTTTTAGTACATTTTTATCTTTATACTTTAACTAAACATCAGCCAAAAGAATAATTATTTACCACAGATTTTTTTTTTGAGAGTTATAGCCAATTTTTAAACTTCTGGCTATTTCTGGGTCTTGTAGCCAAAATGAAAGAACAAATGCTGTTTCTGAAACATGAAGAACATACCTGTGATGAAAATCAAGCTTTTGGAAAGAGGTTGATTATTTCTCAGAGTGTGGGTTATATCCTTGAAAAAAATGGGAAGACTTTCTAGGAGAGATTAAGTGTTTCTGATGTTCATGTAGGTCTCATATAATGCATGTGACAAAATTCAAGTTGGCTACAGATCTATTTTTTGTCTTCATATACTGTAGACAGATTTTCCCACTGTTGATTTCATATACGTTTGTGTCTCAGTTTCCATATTTGATTACATGTTCTGGCAAGGGATGGAAGAAGGTGGTTTGCTTTTAAGAGGATTTTCTCTCTTGCACTTTCCTAACTGCCCTTTTTAATATTTTCTTGACATCTGTTTTTATTATTATTATTATTTTTGTATGCCGCTTTTCTTATTTTAAAAATTCGAGATTGTGAAGATGATTAATGATTGTTTTTAGTTCTTGCATGGATTCTTGATTTCATACAGTAGCTCAGGGTTGGCTGGCCAAGTACCTTAACCACGTATGCAGATGTACTGAGATTTATGGAGAGAAATAAGGAATAAATGTATTGTCATGCATATGGAATATATTTTTGGAAGAAATAGTATTTTTATTTAATATGTAATGAAACAAAATGTAGAAAAGTGCATAACTAAATATCAAAGAAATAGTTTAATCAGCAGAAAATATTTCTAGTGACTGCACTATGCAGTATTTAATCGGTGAATCTTTAGAATTAAAGCTCAGTGGGATCAACATATGGGTATACATACATACATATGAATACGTATATATATTTTATTATTCTGTCCTTTTGAATAACCTGTCTAGCCCTTCTAGACTTCTTGCATCCAAATGTCTGTTGGGATGCAATTGAATTAAGAGAATAAAAACCACTGTTATAGCACTTCTATAATCATTGCAGAAATGAAACTTGAATTTCAAAGGTCTGTAGGTCTACTTAAAGTCATCAAGAAAACTTTCCAAGTATGAAGGAAACAAGGTTTCCCTGAACTATGCAGATGTATTCAGGATTCTTATTTCAAATAATTCTTATGAGATGATCTATCTGAACTCATCTGGTGACCAGTATTACGTCACGGCACTTTAAAAAATACAGTCACCTAATTTGCCGTATGTTAGCATCACTCTTTGTGTTGTCCAGTGCTTTGTTCAGATTTGCACATTCTAAATCTACCACTCTCTTGTATTCTGTGGCCACCCCTCCTCCTTAGCATTATGGAAGGGGAAGAATGATCACAGTTCCATAACATCTATTGATATACTTTGAAATTCAGAAGCTCCTTCCTAAGAATCACAGAAACACCAAGGCTGGAAAAGACCGACAAGATCATCCAGTCCAACCATCCACATATCACCAATAGTCCTCTCTAAACCATATCCCTCAACACAACGTCCAAATGTTCCTTGAACACCTCCAGGGTTGGTGACTCCACCACCTCCCTGGCAGCCCGTTCCACTGCCTGACCAGTCTTTGAGAAAAGTAGTATTTCCTAATGTCCAGACTGACATAAGAACGTGTTTCTGCTGTTTCCCCTAGGATATGTTTTTACATGCAGTCTCACAGATGTTTTACTTGGAATTTTTTTCCTGACGTTTTCTTCAGACTTCTCTTAAGCTAATCTCTTTGGCTTGGCTTTTCTAGTACCTGGAATTCCGTAGGAATGGCCAGAAAGGAAAAATGGAGGTGGGGATGGTGGGCAGCAGCAAGTCTGCAAGAAGAGTAATGTTAAATTTCTTCTAATCTTTTTTTCCTCTCTTTACTAAGATGCCTGCTTTTTCTCATCAGGCTCCTAAAAGCCCTGATTCATTTGAACCAGTGATAACTTAAGTCACAAGGAAGGAATAGGCTATTGGATTGAATTTATACTTTTATGAAAACTTTTTTTCCTATGTATGCTTTCTATCCTGTCAGACTTACCTCACACAGGATAAATTCTTTTGAACTTAAGTGAGTTCTCTGGTTAATTTATAGTCCAAATCACCATGTTTAAGCTTTAAGAGTTTCCTTTTTAATTTCAGCGAGAGCATGACAATCATTCTTAAAACAGAGTGCTTGAAATTACGTGAGGTTGTGACCATGTTAACAGTTCACATCTTAATTCTTATCCAGATATGAGTTACGTTATTATTTTGTTCATTCTCACTTTCCAGATTTCAAGTGCAACCATGAATTGAAAATAAAATTAACAATTAAACTGTTTACTTTCCCCGTTACAGATTGACCAACTGAAACAAGAACTCTCAAAGAAAGAATCAGAACTTCTTGCCTTACAAACTAAGCTTGAAACCCTTAGCAATCAGAATTCAGATTGCAAGCAACACATTGAAGTGCTTAAAGAGTCACTTACTGCCAAAGAACAGAGAGCTGCCATACTTCAGACAGAGGTATGGTATCTTCTGAACATAAAATGTGATATGAATGTATAGTTAATAATGTTTATTGAGCTGATCATATTTGTTTGAAGTCTGTATAGAAGACAATTTGTTGAAGTATAGTATAGAAATAATTTTAAGCCCTTGAAATATCAATCTATTTGATACCTATATTTATCTATGTATTAGGTCACGCACCAGATCTTTTTGTCTAATTTATTTTAAAAGTATCTGTGAGTGCAATTTGAGAAACTGTGTCTAATTCTCTTTGGGTTCAAGGTGGAACTATGGCCAAATGGCTTGATTGTTGTGATTTCATTTTTTCATCTGTCAGATTACTGAGTTTGGTTTTGACTGCTCTGGTCTGATGCTTTTCTAAATCTAATCTGAAGAATTAATGTCCTAATGAATTTTCAAGGGGTCTGTTCAAGGGTACCTGATATTAATCTGTGGTTCTTTCCAATGCAACAGTCTTTGATTTAAAAAGTATAAGTTAGTTCCATTCTTTAATTTGGGTCAATGCACGAGTTATGTGTGTATCTACAAAAACAGATCATAAAAATATGGGGAATGGAATACAGGATTGAGGTGGTTATTACATTTAATGGAATCCAGTGTTAAAAGCATTGTCTGTTCTTTTTTTTTTTTTTTTTTTTTTTTTTTTTAAACAAACAAACAAACCCACTTCATAGACTTGGAACATACAGTACTATTTAGATTACTTCTTTTTATTTTATTTTAAGGTGTGTACCCCTTTCAAGGGCATAAATGTCAGTGAAATTCAGTTATACTGGTTTCTTTTCAGAGAAGTATGTTACTTAAAGTATGAGAGTCTAACATGATCTTCAACTGCGCAAATCTGTTTTGCAAGGTTTGTAGTACCTATTGTGCTGCTGAGGATAATGCTGAATTCCGGTGGCTCTCCACTAATTTGATTTCCTAATTCTTTATCAGAGCAGCATGTATTCAAGACATCACAATCTTACTGCTGGCAGATGGGCAGTGGTAAAAAAAAAAAACCAATAAAATAATAATCATATAATCAAACAGAGTATTTATTACAAATTGATATATAAGTATGTAAGAATGTTATTTGCTTTCTTTGACAATCAAGAACAACAAATGTATTACTTGTGTCCAAGTAAATCCATAGATCAGAAAATAAAGCTGCTGCATAGCTGATGTGCTTATTGTAATGGTGCATTAATCACATATTTGGAAAATGCTCGGGATTTTAGCGAATTTTTTACCACTCTTTGATATGTTAGGGAGTTCTTCTGGTCAAAAGTGCCTCTTTCCCACAAACTAGTATATTACAACTTCCAGACTGGTTTATTGGAGAGATTCTGTTAAACTATGGCTATCCTATAGAAATGTGCTGGAACCCTGAGCAGCGCAGAAGCTGGACAGCAGTCTGTGTAGATTGGTTAAATTGCTTCTTATCACCGTTTAAACAGAACCAGAAAGAACATAAACTGCAAGAAGGCATCTCAATAAAAATTATGAACTAGGGCCCATTCATTGGGTGCCAAAAACTTTGAGGTGTGGTGTTAGCTATGAGATGGTTGAAATCAAGCTGTCTGTGCTGCTTGCATTTTGTCTTTTTCAGGATGGAACTGCCTACTTCTTTCTCTTATTTCTTTTGCACGCTTACTTGCTCCTTATATCTTTTGACTGGGCTGTGGGCCAAAATACAACAATAAAAATTAAATAGTTATTTTAATTTTGCATTTCAGTTAGCAAATTTGTGTCTTCTGACTGCATTTTTCTGTTACTGAGATGTTTCCTGAAACATATGAAAATCATTTTATTATGAATGACAGAAATAAACTAGAATTACAACTTTGACAGGAAAGTTCATAATGGTGTAGATCTGGTAAATCTGTTCTAAACTCCCTTTTACCTACTCTTAGTTTTGTGGGAAGTCTGTTGTATAACCATTCCGCAGATATAATCTTCATATAGCTCAGTTGTGTCTTTCTTTAGTACTTGTGAATGTCTTGTCTTTTAAAAGGAGCTTCTTCAGTTTAGAGATTGTGGTTCAGTTTAGAGATTGTGGTTCAGTCAAGGGAAAGTTTATTTTTTGTGAATCTTTGTGGGAAATTCTACATTTCCCACAGGCTGTGTGAGAGACCAAATGTGATATAGATGTAATCCTATGTATCGGAAAAGGCCATAGGTACTTGGTTTCTGATTTAAGTGTTAAGATTTGTTAAATCAAACAGCAACAAAAAAGCAAAAGATCCTTTAAGGAAGCTTGTACTTCTCTTGTATGCAACATGAGAGCCAAGAGAGCTGATGGCGCAGAGGGTCTTTCAGTGCATTAAGAATAGGGTTCAACTTGCTAAACACTTGAAAATGAGCAAGTGCGCTTTACATAGATGCACATGCATCCACCATTGAAGGTGGATGTGGAATTAAAATATGATTTTGTCATCTGCGCACTCTCCGAGACCTGGGTTTAAAGCTGAAAAAGCTAATCTGTACTATGGCTGTAATACAACATTGATTCTGAACATAGCAGGTTTTTTCTGCAGTGTAGAATTAGGAAAAGATTTTGTCTGCTTATAGCACATGAATCTTCAATCTTCAGGCCTCAGGTCTTATCTGAAGGGAGGGTGTTTGGTTCCAGCAGTAGATGGAAAAGCAGCTGCGGGGAGATGCAGGGTGAATGGCAGCCCTCCAGCAGGTGGAAAGCATTATGGAAGGAATTTTGTACTGTACAAGGTATTGTTTGTAGTTCCCAGATGAGTAAAGTTAATAACTTCTTGGCCTGCATTAAGCCCCACTCCTTTCTTTCTGCATGTCCAATTCTTCTTTTTGCAGAATATATTTTGTTAATTATCACTGTAGAATTTCATGCTGTCCTAAAACTAGCTCATAAAACAAGCTGCCTGGGAGGGCTTCTTTCTAGAAGTAAAAGTAAGTAGAAAAGGTCAGTTCTAATCCTGAGCTGAAGTGTTGCAGTGTTGACTCCCTGCCTAAACAGGATTACTTTGTAATCACCTTATACTAATTAATTCAGTTCAGTAAATTTTGTACTAAAATATTTTTTTTTATTTGATCTTAATTGCTTTATAACAAGACTTTTATTATTTGCCTTAATAATAGTATTCTAAGGCTGTCTTCAGGTTTTGGATGCAGCAGCTGCATGTGAAGCGATAGCATCAATATGAATGTTTCTGTCAGCCCTTTTCTTCAGTCCCTCTGCCTGGCAGGATGGCCTCTGATGTATTCTCCTAGTTTTCTGTCATCAGCAAACTTTCTGGGACCTTATGTTGCTCCCATCATCCAGATAAACAATGAGTTGAACAGCACTGGATCCAGTATTGGGTTTTTCATGATGTCACCAAAATTAAAACATTTTTTTTCAAGGATAGTTTAAATTCGAGCTTATAATAACAATTTGTTTTAGTAGTAAAAGATGAAGTGCAAGCAGAGATATAATGATCTTTTAGTCTCTGCCGAATATTAACTACTGCTGAAAAGCATCACCAGTGTTTTCTGGGTATTTACGTATAATAGCAGAGGACATCTGGAATTTTTGATGAACATAGTTAATATGCTTTGAAAAAAGGTAAGTGGAAAGGATTTCAGATACAAAGGATTTTTGTCACATGCTCAGAGAAAATTACTAAAAGTCTAGTTCTAAACATGATGTGCTTTTCGTTCTGTTTTTCCATTGTCTTAGTGATGGCAGTGGTTTTTTTATAGGCTTCTTTGACTTAAAAAGCTATCATCTAAAGTTTTTATTGACGGCTGAAACAAAAGAGTATAATCCTGTAAAGCAATAACTATCATGGTGGCCAGAGTTGGGAGGTCTGAAAATAGTTTATTGCCAGGAAAAAAGTTTGGAGCCAGTTCTTAGAAGGTTCACCACCTCTGCTATATGCATTTCATTTTGTTCCATTTTAAGGGTACATATGATAATAGAGCCAAACCATGCAAACTTTTCTTACCCTAATGTGTATAGCCTTTGTTTTGATTCTGTGCTTATTAATGATGTGACAACGCTGAGGTCAGATAAAAGTGAGCCAAGGTCAGGCTATTCCAGCTACAGAATACTGAAAATGTCACTTCACAGAGAATTGCTAAAAGGAAGGATGTTAGATTAGATTTTCTTTGCCGTTGTGTAGAAGCTTTATATGTTACAGTTTAAAGTGAAGTCTTTTAAAGAATAGGAAGGGGGTTAAATAGCTCAAATGATCCTTTTTGATTTAAACAGATTTGACTACCATTACTTGGAAAAGTGAAAGATGGTACAGCTTGATACTATGTTTGTATGCTGGTATTTAACTTCTGCTCTTACCATCAGGAAGAAATCTGATGTAAATTGGTGTGAATACATTCACTTCAGCTGTGTATCTCAGTGGAGAAAAATATTTCAGAATTTCTGGAATTCCTCAATTTCAGAAGCAGCTCTGACAGAAGTTACCTTAGCACTGCAGTGTATCACTGCTTTAGGTAGCATAGGCATAAACTGGCAGATGTATTTTGTGGAATTGTGAAATCTGAATGCCTCCACAAAGAAATCTTGTAAATTATAAGCTTAGTCTTACCAATGGAGAAGGATTTGTAAAATCTGAGCATCTGCGTTTTAAAACAGAAAAAAATAATAAAATTGAAGAGGAAAGGTGATGATAGTAGAGATTTATTGCAATCCATTTCTCTTTTAAAATGAATCTTTTTATAAAGAGAGGCTGGGAAGTCATTGACTTCTTGGCAATTCTCTGTGTAAAGAGCAGGTGAATGCGGACAGCGCCGAATATTTGGAATAAAACCTTTGCTTTACTTTGTTACAATGTTGACATTTGCTATCACTTCAAATGTAAGGCTTTCTAACTTCGAAATAATAAAATGTAACAGGTTATTTCAGTCAGAAACAGCACATTTACCTTGTTGTTTTATAAAATAACTCGATTAGCCTAAATGGCATTTTTAAATTAAAATATACTGTGATAAGATAAATTAAGCTTCAGTTAGGTTTGATTATAGTGAATGAGAATGATTAG